TACATGGAAGTGGTTCTTGGACCTTCTGTATTCGGTCTCCGGCGCTGGCGAGGATAATGGGTCGAACTGTTAAGGTCTGCTGCCACGGATCGTCGCGCGTGGAGAAGCACTGTACGGGACGTAACTAACGCCGGCTAGATCAGTCATGATCGCAGCCGTAACAAGTACAAGTAAGTAAGTAGGATGTTATCGAGACAGAAAGAAGTGAAGCTCGTAAAGAGAAAAGTAGACCGGATGGACGCAAACTCACAAGTGGTTTCGAACGGAGATTGTGCTAAGTCGACTATTTGAATGCGCATTTTGCGATAGTCGAGATGTAAACGTTCTATGCGGTACCTACCAAACTGTATATCTTTGTTCTGAATATTGCCACCAACCTTTTGTCACTTCCGAAATCAACCCAATAAAAGAAAAAGCTGTTGTATCAAGTTTCATTAAGGCCACGTATTTTAGGGGGAAAGATGCACACAGTGTACAACTCCTGCTCCTTTTCTAAGAGTTCTAACAAGCTAGAATTTACGAATTTTTGTGACAATGAGTAATCGAAACCCTGACATACGACATTCCAAAGACAACGGATTTAAATGGAAATTGCATTCTCAGCTAATGACAGCAGTTTCCGTGGAATAGATGGTTGCAGCGAAAGCCGTCTTTGCATTCGTTGGCTGTAGTACTTAAAAACAGAGCAGAAAGAAAAATTCCGAAAAAGCTAATTTCAAATCATACACCTGCATATAAGTTTTCCTAATACTACTACTACTACTACTACTACTACTACTACTACTACTACTACTACTACTACTACCACTACTACTACTACATACTACTACTACTACTAATACTACTACTACCACTACTACTACTACTACTACCACTACACTACTACTACTACTACCACTACTACTACCACTAATACTACTACTACTACTACTACCTACTACTCCTAATTAGTGCTGGTATTAGGTGTTTAGTTCGGAAGAGAAACTTGACTGAGAACGCGACAAGGAGGCATTCGATAATGACCTCCCAGCCTATGCAAAGTGACCAGTTAGCAGACGGTAGCACTGTAAGGGCACGTGTGAACGTAAACTTGTTGAAGGATCCACAGTGTCCCTGTAGAGCTATTCTCGTTCCAGGTAACAGTAAAAAGAAAGAGGTGGAAAATTACGATAGGACTGCCTATCTGTGAGCCGTCATCAGGAGCTGTGCAGACAGAAGTTGACAACACTCCCACAAAGCCTGGTAAAACCTGATACAGGAACCCTTGTCGATCGCTTCTGGGCAGCTGACTTCGGTTAACTTAATATTTGTTTTTAAGCACACGCCTTAACTGTTCTAAGCCAGTATCATACAGGTAGTGAAGTCTAGTGATAAGGCACGGTTGTAATACAAAACATATATATTTTTAAATTTTATGGTTTGGAGTAGCTATATCGTTAATTCGTGGAGAAAATGAGGTCGGCAATAGCTTTTTATAACTCACACGCTTGGTCCAGTTCATGCATACTCACCATAAAATTTTATCATGACTGACCATGGGGAGTCAAGACCTCACATAGCCGTAAAATGTCAGTTGCCAAAGGGATTCAAGAAGCCGACCCTTCTCCCTCTCTGATCAAGGCTGGATATCATATTTCGAAGCTATGGCTTCTAAGTCCGCCCGTGGGGTGTACACTTTAATTGGCCTTTTCCTCTAAAGATACTAAGGTTGGGCAGAACACTGCCGGGGACTTTGAGAGGAATGAAGAAGAGTTGTCGTTTAAAGGAGAGCAGACTGGATGCGTACTAAAACGAGAACTGAACGCTTGACAAAATCGCTTACGTATGCGAAGACAGAAAGCAGGGCAGTGTGTATGTACGTGAATGGAATATTGAGAGCTTCTTCATTTTCTGTTCCAAAAAGCGCCTGCGACAGAAGAACAAAATACTGCTGCAAAAAGGA